CTAATAAGAGAGCTAAAAGAGTTGAAGTCTATTTATTTGGAGAGAGCACATTTTAGTAAGCCTAAAAAGTACTCAAGAATGGTGATCACATTGCTAGAAGCCCAACAAAATAATGTATAAGGCCTGTGTGAAGTCCAGATTGAAGAATTAATTTATAATACCATGTGACAAACATGTGCCTTGGAGGAGGAGGAGTATAAATGACGTCCAAGAACTTTTAAGAAGCATCAAAAGGAGTCATCATGCATCAATTATGATTTAAGTTTTTTTTATGAAGTTTTTTTTTTTGTATTTGCTTTGAATAAGGCTTTGTGATTAAGGATTTTTCTCGTAAATTATGTTTTAATTTAGTTTTCTATTTTCAAATAGCAAACTTGTTCTTGAATTTTAAGTCATTTCTTTTTATCTTTATATAATAAATAGTGTATCCTATAGTCAAATAATCATTAATGAAGCATCATCCCTCGCATTTATATCTTAGGGTACTGATTCTAGAGTGTTCTATAGTTTCCTATATATAGACTATGTTTTTGTACTTGAATTTCAAACTTAGATGAATGAAAATTGACTTTATTTCTCTTTGTGTGAGCTTTGCTTGCATTCTTGTGTTATAGTGAGAATACTCGAAAGTATCAAGGAATTGATCAACCTTGTGGTATCTTCATAACTGGGATTGTACGAGATGAGTTCTCCCAAGGTTTTACTTAGATCATCTATCCTTTCATTACTTAATTCTAGCCGGTTTGTACCCTTCTCATATCAACGAACCTCTCACAATTGATTGATATAAAGCTATGTCATAAAAAATATATGTCCATTTTTAGTAAGCTTGAGGCTAGAAACTATTAATGTCTTTTCATAATTGGATTATGAAAGAAATAGACTTCTATCGGCCTGAGGTTCAACCTTGATACCCAAAAAATAACTAAGTGTACTAAGATTCTTTAAGGCAAATTCTTTGTTCATATCAACAATAACGACGTACTATGAGAGAGTGAATTATATCACCTATATAGACTAAAATATAAAGACTTTCATTTCCATTAATTCTTGTTAATAGCGATTGATCACATCTATTACTTTAAAAATTCACTTTATTCAATGATGCAACAAGTTTTCGGAACCAGGCTTTAAGGGTTTGTGTTAGACCATATAGTGCTTTATCTAGTTTGCAAACCAAACTTTTATCAGCATGTTCATAGTCTAGAGGTTGTTGCATATAGACTTCTGCATGAAGTATGCCTACTTAGAAAGGCATTGTTGACATCAACTTGGCACATATACCACCTTTGAGCCATTATAATAGTTAGCATAATTTGAATTGCAACAGGTTTAATGACCAAACTAAAAGTTTCAATGAAATCAAATCCTTCTTGTTGATGAAATCCCTTGGCTACAACTGAGCTTTATGATAAGTAAGAGTATTATCTGGGTTTCTTTTGACCTTGAACATCCACTTACAAGCAATACCACACATATTCTTAGGTAATTAAACCAAATGCCAAGTCTTGTTTTTCATGGGAGTATCATATTCTTTAACCGTTGTATTTTTTTCATAAAGGGAACTGTAAAGCCTCATTTATAGAAGCATGTTCTATTTTTGCTATATATACTTTTGGTATGTAAATGCCATTCATAGATTGAGTAACCATCCTATGAAAAGCATTTAGTATCATAATATTATCAACATCATGTGTTTGGCACTGAGATAACTGAGCAGGAGAAGAAGTAAAATCTAACTTGTAGGCACACTATCTATAGAAGAAGTATTGTTAGCATCATCACACTAGTATGTGTGGGGGGGGGAATTAAGGAGGACTACCTAAAGGACAAACTAACAGAGACTCTAGTTTAGGATGAGAAAATAAGGATTTGTGAGAGTGAGATTGGGAAAGACAAACTAATAAAATACAACATCTCTTGAAATATATAAGCTACCGTTAGAATCCCATCATTTATATCCTTTACATGAGAAAGAATACCTAACTAAAATACAATGCATAGATCTAAAATCAAACTTATGCTTGTTATAAGGCTGTGTGTGTGAAAAACAAGAACATCTAAATGTTCTATAAAATGCTATTACATTGCCAATAAAGAAATATTATTTTTTTATCTTTATTGGTAATCTGTTAGATAGATAAGTAGCTTAGTAAAAGCTTCAACCCATAATAGAAAAGGAGAAGCATCTTTTAGTAATGTAAGCCCTATTTCAACTATTTTTCTATGGTTTCTTCTCGCCAAACCATTTTGTTCATAAGTGTAAGTATAATTCATATGATGAATAATGCCATGCTCTTGTAAATATTTTCCTTTCTTGAGAAATTCAGCCCCTACATCAAACTGAATAGCATTGATTTTATAGTTTAACTGCAGCTAAACCACCTTATGAAAATTGACAAAGGCTTGACGGGCTTTAGCTTTAGTGTGTAATGGACACAACTAAGTAAAATCTTGAAAAGACATAAATAAAATGAATTTAATGGAGATAACCATTAAGAGAAGTGTGTGGTGAAAGACCCTAAATATTTGTATGAATAAGCTTAATAGGAGAGTTATACATGGTTGATGAAGAAGCAAAAGAAAGTTTATGAGATTTATCAAGACAACAAGAAGTGCAAGAATCAAACATAGTGATCTTATTTGAACGAAACAATATTACAAGTACTAAGAACAAAAGATACAATGACAGATGAAGGGACAGTGACAAACGAAGGGTGGCGAAGCTTATTGTGCCATAGCTAAAAAAAAAAAAAAAATACAAGTAGTACTAGACTGACAAGATTTAGATGAAGTACAATTAGTATTGGTAGAAACATTTACACTAGAACTGGAAGACATAAAAGAAGCTGTGAAAGTTGACTTAGAAGAAGTAAGACCTGATGACTTCAGAAAAAAGCTAGAAGAATGAAGAGGTGCACTATAGACACTGTATTTGGTTTTTTTTTTTTGTAGATTAGCTTGTCATTTCAAAGATCCTTGATAATGAAAATATTGGAATAAAAAGGAATTAGTATATTATTATCAAGAAACAATTTAGGAATGCTTAAAATATTTTTAGTGATTTCAAGAATATGAAGAATATCATGAAGTCTAAGTTTGTAGGTAGAAGGATAAACATGAGGATTAGAATGACCAATGCAATGAACCAACAAACTTTTACCATTACTAACATAAGTTCGATCAATAGAGGGATAACCTGGTTTGTCAGCTATTATCTTATCAGAATGAGTTATATAGCTTTTAACACCCGAATTAAGATACCAATCTGGATCCACCTCTGACTCAAAGGTTGCAACCATGCCATTGTCCTCCTTCTGATTAGATTTGTCAAATTTCATCGAGCTACTTAGAGCCTGGAAATCCTCTTTAAAATGATACCAACAATCAATAGCTTTGTGTCCTTGTTTCTCACAGATTTAATAGATCAGAATGTCTTTGCCAAAGTTGTTGGATTAGGAACTAGAACTAAGAGTAGACCTTCCTTGACCATGATGATTGTGAATGCCTCTACAAGAATAGGACTTAGTTTGAACAAGATTAGCAGTCACATTAATACATTTGATGTTTTTCTCCATATAAGCCTCTTAAACAATAAAAGGAGACTCAATCTGATCAATAATACAAGGGTCTTTTTGGTTGTAATAATAATGATGAATGGATCATGTTCTTCTATAAGACCTTTAAAAATATAATTGATGTGATCCGATTCTAAAATCGGATGTCTAATTGCTATAAGGGAATCAAAAAGTGATGCAATCCTAAGCAAGTATTCATTAGCAAAAAGATTACCTTTCTTAGTGGTCTTTAACTGAGTCTTTTGCTATTGAATGATTGCTTTAGTTTGAGAGGCAAAATAAGCTTGTATCTTCTCCTAGATTTGGAGAAAATTTTGACACCCACCAATCTGAGTAAGCATTCTATAGGACATGGAGCATGACATCCATGACATCAGAAGCAAATATTGCTTCTGCCAATCTAGGAAATCTGATTGATTGGTAGCTATTGTCAAATTATTCATTGACTAGATGCACCAGAGGAGGTTTCACAAATCTATCAATGAAATTTTGCAGGTTGTGGCCTCTGATTGCAATGAAGATTCGATGCTTCCATACAAGATAATTGTTCTCCTTGAGTTTGATAGAGATGAGAGATAAGAGATAAGTGAAGGTGACAATATCTTGATAGCAATAGTTGAGAGACTGGTTAAAGGAAGGTTGGAAAGAGGTGGAAGAAGACATGGTTCTTGGTACATATTGCTTTGATACCATAAAGGACTTTAGAGAAAGTGTGAGTGATAAGCTAAATGATAGGTATATTGATATGATAAGGCAATACTCAATTTTAGGACTTAATTAACTAATTTGAGTAAATTAAGAATGATAGTTAAATTAATTAATATGATATAATGCTTTTCTAAAACACCCTAAACATATTCTGTAATTCCCTTTCTCCTTTTTCTATTTGATTATTGTTGAAAAAAATATCAATACAGTTAATTTGAGAAAAAATTGATAAACAAATGAAATAGGTTTTACATATAGGACCAATATCAACTCCCTAATAAGGTCGTATGTTAAGCACATGAGGAATACAATATATGGAGTCAAAGAGTGACAATTGTATATAGTTCATTCACTAAACATAATTAGTTACATAATATGTTTCTTAACTATCTCATATATACATATTTATATATTGTCAATTCACATCAATATAATTGATATTAATATAAAATATAAAAGTGTGAGAGGAATCATTTTGTTCATGAGAAGTCTTGAACAATAGGCTCATATCAACTCCATCCCTACTCTAGTTGAAGTTTTATTTCATCACAAATACAACATTTTCTTTTTCTTCTTCTTTAATCTCTTTGTTATACAATATTGAACTGTTACGCATACACACATAAACACACATGATGCACATACTTAATATATAGTGAGACATCATTGAAGAGCCCAAAGAATAAACATTTATCAATGTATACAGTTTCTTTTTCAATTTTGGGAGCATGGACCTTCAAGATCCTTTTCTTGTTTGAGGGCTTTAACAGATATTTCAGGCAAGAAATGAGCCAAATCTGCTAATTGTTGTACATCTTTGGCAATGTCTTCCACGCGTGCTGCAATTTCTAAGAGCAAAGAAGCTAGGGTTAGAAGTTGAAAAGTTTCCATGAGAACAAGTTGTGGAGAGCTTTGTGCTTTTGTTGGGTTGGCATCATTATTATTATTTATTGGATTAGACTTCAATACTTCCTGAAGCTCTTGTGCTGTATTATTCATCTTCCCAACTAAAATATCAACACTTAATGATTTTGTCATATTTTGACTCATCTTCGCCAGCTCCCTTATCACACTCGCACAGTTGGAACTCATTCTCAAGCACACGCCACTGATTTGCTCCTTCATATCACTATTGTCCTGTACCAAAGTCAATATAGCATATTTCATTATGTATAGAGAAAATAAGTTTTCAAAAATTTTGTTTTATCATCATCTTTCTAGCATTCAAACCATGAACATAAAAAGATGTTTGCTGTCACTTTTTGTCCTTTGATTAGGTTTAAAGTCAAACTTTGTACTGAAAACTTTTGCATAGATGCTACGGGTATTCAGAAGTTTTTTAATTAATATTAATGTCACTCCAAAAGTGTTAAAAAAAGACCAGTAAAAATGTTGATGGTCAGCATTAGTTTTTTAATAGTTAGAGTGACTTAGGCTTTTGTGATAATATTGATTGGAAAAAAAAAAAAACCTTTAGGATACTCATAGTTCTTGCACAGAATTTCAAGGGCAAAATTAGATTTTAACCCTTTTAGCTATTTTACAAAAATAATTGAGTTAAATTAGGTAATGTTATCAAATCTATCAAACTTTCATGTTATTTTTTTCCCCAAATTACCCTTAAAATTAATGAGATTTCATTTCTCTCAATAATCTCTTGCCATCTAATTAATTAAGGGCATTTTTGTGAAAAAAATAATTGATATATTGGACAATTTGAAAAAGGTTTAATAAAAAAGGATTAAGCTAAACTTTTCAAAATGTTATAACAAAAAAGGATCCAAATTAAAGGAGTAATAAACAATGGTAAATGAGACCCAATAGGCCAATATATTGTGTAGCAGGAAAAAATTATTGAAAAAAAAAAGATAGATTGCATAGGATGGATCTACTCACCTATAATAATTAAGTTGTATGACTCGTCATAGATATTATATATTATTTTGCTATTAATATATTTAAAATCTTCTATATATATCATTTATTAATTGTTTGTTGACAATATATTGATATGAGCCTTCAAAGTTGTGTGTGTGTGTGTGTGTGTAGAGACTGTCGTACTCAGTTAAAAGTAGTTTAGCAATTTGTTATGCTGGCCAAAAAAAAGTTTAGCAATTTATTAAACCACCTTGCTTTCTAAATTCACGCAGCCAACGAGAGCATCTAAACATGAAGCACAACTGCGCATTGATGCCCCTACTTTAAGATATTGCTTCCACGGGTGACGAAATCTGAACCGACCGTGGGCGGGTTCCCATCTTGCAGCGTTAGCCTGCACATTGCAATATGGTCAAACCATATTTATTTGTATGTATGTATTAGGGTTAAGACTATTTTTAGTCCCTGAAATTTAATTTTATTTTAGTTTTGGTTCTTAAAATATGATTTCATTTTGGTTCGACTCAAAATTTTTGGTCCCTGAAAATAATGATCACAACCAAAATGAGGTTAAATTTTAAGGATCAAAACTACTTATTTCAAATTTCAAGGACTAGAAACAAAATAAAATCAAATTTCAGAGACCAAAATAATTATTTCAAATTTCAGGAACTAAAATTAAAATGAAGTCAAATTTTATAGACTAAAGATGGTGTTAACCCTATGTATTAATTACGAAACTTATGTCAAGTGGCTTATATCTATTAGATTAAGTTCATAGGTGAATTTATAAAAGTGCATCTACGTATTTTAACAACATTACAATGACAAAATAACGTGTTCATATAAAAATTTATGTATTATAATTTACATTATAAGAGCTAATACAAAATTTACAAGATGAGTTTACGAGTGTATATATGCATTTTTAACGAGAACTTGACATAATGATAAAAGCAACTTGATCTAAATTCTATCCACATAAATATTGTAAATTATAAATTCAAATCATTTAAATTAATCCTTATCAAGTTTGCATACCATAGAATCTTCTGCTGCCTTAGAACTCAGCACGCACTTGTAGCCTAGCAACGTTTTATCAGATTCATGGTCAATAACAGATGAAGTTTGATCAATGAAGTACTGAGCCACAAGACCTGAAATGTCACGAACATATTATTATTCTTAGCTACGTTCCAAGGAAACTAGGTATACGTCCAAATGGGGCATCAAAATAAGGGCTAACCATCTAAAGAATTTGCGAGTTTGTCCATGTTTGAAGTGATTGAAACATGGAGCTCCTGACCCGCCCAAATGGGGCAAACAGTGATGCTTGTGATTATGCAGAAAGATGTGCCAATTATAATGGTGAATATCCTTTGCATTGCCATATCCCATAATTCATCGACCCGATAACCCGATATTGAAACCAAGCTATAAGTGAGGATAAATATCACGGCGCCATAATCAAATCGAGCCTTAATAGTGGGGATGAATCTAGAGAACGTTGCAGCAGAAGCTGACCACGGAAATAACAATGATTAAGTTAACAGGATATTGGTTAAGTCCTACATTGAGTGATTAGATGATAAATCCAACATATATCTTTGGATTTTTTTTTTGGCACAAGAGATATGTGGTCAAAGTTAAAACTCTAACATCAAGACTAAAGAATAAACAATAAATTTTGACTATAGTCTGTGAATGAATTGTGCATAGAGTGATAATTGATTACTTGTAACAATACAAGACCATTAGATGGGTTGGCGAAAATTGCTTTTAATACCTAACAAAAAGAGTGAGACGCCTTCAATGATTGGTTCAACATGATCTCCTGCTCTGTTGGCTACCCAATGCACACCAATGGCAAGAAACCCCGCAATAGATGTCGCACAGATCCGATTTATAGTTTTACTAATTGTATCACCTGCATTAGTTAATTATCCAATTATTAACTTAATTATACTCTTTGAATATATTGCCCAAAGGAAAAAAAAAAAAGTGAATCAACAACAGAATTTGTAAATTTCCTTGCAAAAAATATCATCACTAATTGATTAGTGACAGAATTTCATCGCTGAATTAATTAGTAAAAAAATTTCATCACTAAACTAATTAATGACGAAAATTATCTGTCGCTAAATTCTGTTTCTAATTAACTGTGTTTTTAAAATACGATAGATGGGTTTAAGAGGAAAAAATTGTAATTTTGAGTGATTGGGTGTACCGTACGTACCTGCTGTGTACTGAAACACAACAACCACAGTCATGACTGCCCACATAGCATTTCCTCCAACTCCATCGTACAAAGGCTTGACGTAGTAGAAGAGAGAGACTAAAGTAAGAGCTATGGCTACCTTGATGGCATGAATAAACTTTCTGGGATCATTCACTCCTAATTCCCACGCTTTCTTCGGAAATATCAATAACTTCAAACCCAACCTTACAATCCAATGTCGGATCCTTCCAATTCCAAATCTCTCCGGCACCAAAATCTCCGATGATCCGTCACCGGCCTTTATTCTCCATTCAACTTCATTACCCATCTACTTCGTCGCTTGTTACTTCTGCAGTGTACACTACTAGCAGGTTATTAGATTCGTGGAGTATAAGTATATAAATTCGAAATGTAAAACCGACTATATAATGTAAACGACATTGATCTAATAGAAAAAGAGGGGTGCAATGGAGAAAATGACCAAGATTTGAACTCTATTTTGGCCTACCTGCACCATCGGATGATACTGCTTAGTGCTGAGATTGCAGCATACGTGTATTTATAGAGATGGCCTTCTCTTCTCTATCATCTCAGTTCCAAGATTCAAGAAATTAATTATTTCAAATTCTGTTGATGGGGTTGGCTTTAGATGTAGAGGATATCATCAAAGCACAAAACCTAAGTTGTTTAGAAACCATTACCTCCGTTATTCCAATCAGATTCTGCCACGTATCCTATTTTTTTGGTCCCTACGTCAGCATTTGTGGTTAATGATGATGGAAAAAAATAATACAAGTGCCAAAATCAGATTGGAATAATAGATGTAATGGTACTCCCTCTTGACCATATTATAAGAAGTCACTGACACATACCGATAAAACTAGTTAAAAAGATTAAGTTTAAGTGATTTCTAGTATTACTCTCATTAATTGTACTAAATTCTAACATCGTATTATTTTCTATTCTCCCACTACCCTAATCAAATATGGGCATATATGAAAAAAGTAGTTAATATTAATTGAAACTAACAAAGGGTATATAAAAAGAACCAAGAATTTATTCTGTACGGATTCCTATAATGAGGTTTAAGTTTTGTCCTTTTCAAAATTATTTTTTCTTAGTGCATTGCTGTACGCAGATGGCTGAAAATGAAAGTGTCGCATCCGTACATAGGCCATGAATGTTGCCAATTTTGGACTAAAGTTAGGTAACATATAGTTTCCATGAACGCATGATCAAAGTGAAATTATACTAGTTTCATTTGAAAATAGAATTATAAAACACCAAACTTACAGGAACTATAAAATATTGAGACGATTTGCACTCCCCCACCTAATTTTAGTGGACATGAATCGACAAAATTAAAGTTGTGGGATTTAAAAAAAAGAAAAAAAAGAAAAAGAAAAGACGTCAACTTGTGGACGCACTCAGGTGTTCAACTGGGACAAGTCATGAAGCACTTGCGGATTATATTAATCCATGCATCATAGTAGAAGAGCAATAAATTAGAAAGATTCGCAATGATGACCTAAATCAGAAGAATTAGTGCCTGCCGCAGCTAATATTTGATGGTTATTATACTTTGTTTTCATTTTCATTTTGTTTTATAATTTCAAATTATAGGTTTTAGTCTGTTAAAAGAAAATAGTCTATGTTCTTATTAAAATATAGATACTAACATTTTAAATGGAAAGGAGCGTAAGGAAATTGAAACATATAGTTTGAAATTATAAAGACCAAAAATCAAAATGAAAATAAATTATAAGGATCAAACATTTTATTAATTCTAAAAGTTCTCAAACATCAATTGCAAGTAAGGGTATTCAATTGTATCCTGTCTTGACATCCCGTCATTGCCTGGGACGGGATATAGGATGGGAGTATACCGTCCCGGTTCCGTCCCCATATATTATGTTTTCTAATTTTATAAAATTACTTTGCTTTATTATTAATATAATAATATTAGAACTTTTATAATTTTATAATTATATCGTTTACAATTTTATAAGTTTTTTCTATAGGTTATATGATGTGCTTTCAGGGATATCTTGAGTTTATATATTTTCTATCTTTCAAAAGAAACATTTTTCTTTGTTAATTTTCTATTATTGTCAATTTTTAGCTATTTTCTTTATATAATTTTTACTACGAGTTTTTATGCTCTAGATACGTTTAGTTTTGAGATAAAAAAATTCATTAAAAAATAAATGGGATACCTGGTCCTGTCCCTATTATGTCCTGTCATGAATGGGACGAGGCACTATCGGGATGGAATGGGATATGACGCGGGATTGAAAACCATCCTATCTCAATTATTGGGATGGGACTGGGATGGGTTTGTCCCAGTCTCATCCCACCCCATAGGCACTTCCAATTACAAGTGGTTAGCATGTTTTTCTTTAAATATTTATAACATGAAGTACTAATTCTAGTCTTTAATATAAGAATTAGTTTGACATTTAATTTGGTTTTAAATATAATACCTCAATTCATTTTGTTTCATATATTTATCTATTTTTTTCAACACTTATATATTACAAATAACTAAATTAACTAATTTTCTTAATCTATTTAAATTAGTCAATCAAATGTTATATTAAGGATAGAAGGTAATATTTTTTAGTATAATACTTACATCAAATTCCTTATATCTATTATGTTAAGTTCTCCAATTATACATAACCATGTGTCCTATTTTTGAAATATTAATATTTAATAGTATTTAATTATAAATCCATGTTAAAAAAAGACACAGCCATATATGATTAAAAAACCTAACATAATAGATATAAACAATTTTTTCCTATCTTTTATGCAAATGATAAAGCAATTGAAAGAAATTCTATGAAGCAACATTCATAATCATCTCAAATATTTTATAAGGAAATGAGATTCCCATTCCATCAAGGCTCACCGAAAACCGCTTGGAAGTTTTTTTCCCCCTTTTCACGTAGCTTTACACTCGAAGTGGAAACCCCAATATGAGCATGTTCATTCATATAAATATTATCCATTTATAAATATGAATAAGTGAGTGAAAATTAGGTCATGAATAGGATTCTTGGAAAGGTAAATAAGCAAGCAAACATCTTGAGACGCAAATGCGACTATAGAACTTGATTAGTGAGACACAGCACTTATCTTTCTGCGGCACCACTTGCACTCATATTATTGATATTAGATTTTGATGGACTGAAATATTTAATAAGTGATTTTTCAGATTAAATATAACATAAATTAGATAAAGGATTTAATTTAGGAGAAAATTTAGGTGCAGTTTGTTATAGAACCATTACATTCATTATTCCAATAAGATTCTGCCACTTGTATTATTTTTTCCATATGCGAGGCCTGCAAATCTTCAACATATAGTTTTTTTTCCAGGTCTTCTATTAGTGCAAAAGCTACTCTAGTAGCTTCTGCTCAAATGTGCAATTGAGATTGAAATTACGATTTATCAAGATTTTAAAAAATTTAGCCAAATAAAATAAACAAACTACATAATCACTTATTTGGATTCAAATGGGTTTATTTGAATTCCCACCATTTAACCAAACATGCACTCCTTTATGAGTTGGCCAATAAAAATCAATTTTTTTTTTTTAAAAAAGGTTTTAAAAAATAATGACTAAGTTTGAAACAATCAAAAGTTTAAGGATTGACTTATAGGTGGGATGAAAGTTGAAGGATTAAATAATTAATTTTCTCTTTAATTTATATTATTCAAATAATCTAATTGAGATAATATATACATTACCATAAATTAACCAACATATACGGTTGTATATCTTTTTCTTCAATAGATGTAGATATGAATATTTTGTCTTCATAGAATACCACATATCCCCACCCGTCTCTATGTAAGGAGACTCAATCAGTTGTGAATCACTCCAATCGTAGAGTTATTACACACACATACACGCACATATAATCTCCCCTTTCCTTTTTTTCCCCCCTCTCCCTTATGGTGCATCCATGCCGCCCCATCTTATGATTTTTTTAAATAAATAAAAGTTTGAGTGAATTGAGTCTTAAGAGTTCATTTGGATTAGAAGATGTCTCCAGGCTTAGAAAACATTTATAAAAGTACTTACAGATTACCTACTAATAAGAATTTTTTATTAAAAACAAAATTCGAATTTAAGATATTGTGAATTATGAGCTAACTCTTTGACAATTAAACCAACTCTTATTAGTAAACTTATGATTTAATAATTCAACTCGAATCCAAACCAACTTAGCTCCAAGTAAATATGGTTGGGCTTAGCCCATTGTCATTAAAGAAAACATTGTGCCGATGAATTGTCATCTAATTCTCAGGACCCAGAAGAACACTTACCGTGATCATACACCGACAACGGGAAAAAAACAGACCCAAAAAAAAAAAATCAGAGGAAAGAAAGCAGACTCTTTTTTTTTTTTTTTTTTTGGAGAAATAGAAAATTATTCAAAAAATTAAAATAAAAAAGTGCGGTTGCGGCGGAGGGTTGCGAGGGGGAGAGATCATTTGGGAAGGGTAGGATTGGCAAGGACGACCACCTCGGAAAGCGTGGGCTCCACTTGCCCCTTGGCGGCCAACTTCCGTTCTGCAATCTGCCGCTTCGTGGATTTGTAATAAGTGGCATAGAGGATCAACTGAGCCACCGATAGCAATAATCCTATCCCATTCGGTATCTGCCTCCTCAAAATAATATCTTTGTATTATTTTATAATTATATTAAAATTACATCAAATGCTATAATATCTATTAGAAAGAAAACATTAGAAAACCATTTGAATCAATTAGGACATGAAAAAAAAAGGGTGTTGGAGGGGGTGGTAACGAGAGATCAGACGATATAGAGGTTTAAAAGAGGGTGAAATAAGATACAAGAAAATGGTTAAAAAAATTTTTTGTTAACAATTAACAGAATGTAAATAATTTTGCCGTGAGAATCATACAGCTAACCCCACTTTTATTGAGATAAAACTAGTTATTGTTGTTATTTGGCTATATCAATTAAACATTTTCTTCAATATAATCATGCCCACGTATACACATGCACATACTCCTTCTCATCCTAAATATGAGAGTTAGTTACCTAATTAGAGTATATTAAGAAAATTAGTTAAATTAGTTATTTGTAATAAACATGTATTGTCTTTCTTAAAATACCTTTAATAATCATGTGTATTAACTAAAACTAGCATTTGATAAAATATTTAATATGTACAATTATTACAAGAACTATTTTAAGAAAGATAAATAAATGAAAGACGAAGTAAATTAGAGTTTTATATTTAAGACCAAATTAAATGTCAAACTCGTTTTTATATTAAAAACCGGAGGTAATACACACTTACAGCAATGAAAGGGTCAAAACGGATGAGAGCATAGGTAGTCCAAGCGACGCCATTGCCAAAGGTGCCAAGAGACACAAAGAAAGGCATGTACTCCACGCTTTTGGTAGTGATCACCATTTTCTGCGTCCAACATATATTTATATATATATATATATCGTCACATAGCTTGTATATATACACACACATATTGAAATTAAAAATGATAGTTGACATGTAAATTTGTCTCAAAAATTTTCACCCGAAAGTCAGGTTGACCTGAAATTTTTCTTCTAGGTTCAAAGTCACTCGAAAAGTGTTAAAATGGAGAAATCTGTTACCTCTTACCATTAAAAATGTTAAGAGTCATCAATACTATAATTTAATTGTTCATGTTAGTTTTTTAATGAGATAAGGTAATATTGCTATGTTTTGAAACTTTCAGGGCAATATTAAACTTAAAAAAATTCCAGACCAATATTGATTCGGAAGGAAAACTTCTAAGAAAAATTTGCATCTAAACCCATTAAAAATTAAAATGGAATGAAAAATAATTAAACAGAAGTAATTGATTAATAATACTAACCATGACGGTCAAAGGAGAAGCATACATCATAAGGTTGAAGAGGGCACAAATGGTTCCGACGACGGCGGAGCGTTTCTTGACGGTGTGAAGAAGCGTTAAGGAGAGAACAGTAAGAGAAGAGATGAAAAGGATCTCAACAAGAAGCAAAAGAAAGACTTTGAGCCTCTTGGTGCGTCGAGAGTATATGAGGAAGATGATGACGTAGATCAGCTCCACCACACAACCCGCCCCGTTTATGGTCACAACCAAGAGGCTATTCGGGTGCACCATCGGCAAACCGTACAGCGTCCACACCATACAGTTCACCAGTGTCGCTAAATACGGCATCGCCGAGTACTGCTCCACCGTTCCTTTCCTCCATATGTCCAAAAATGTTGGCCTGCAAATATATATTTTAATATTGAAAATCTTATTTAAAATTAAAGAGAAATAATAAATATGTAAAAAATAATTTTTTTCAGGGAAAAATAGCATAAGAGAGAATTTACCATGTAAATAATTCACCTTGATAATAAATGCAATGATATTAATACAAGTGACTAAATAGAAAAATAGGACATTAAAAAAAAAATTGGAAACGAGCCCCTAAATGTATCTTATAAATAGGAACAAGGCATATTCAAAAATTGTCTCATATAAAAGGAACGAAAAAAGAGTATAAGCTCGTAATATAGTGTGACTAATATGAGTTTTAAATTAAATGTTAATTCAAATTCATTTGATGGTGCTGGTAAACCAAAAAAAAAAAAAACCATTTGATGGTTACTTACAGGGGAGATAAGAACATGAAGCCCGAGATGATGTTTCCTGCAAGTTAAATTAAGTTCCCAAAAATTTATTAAAAAAAAAAAACAAAGATCAGTTAATTATGTATGAAAGAGAAAAAAACACGAAACTGAATCCTCTCAGTATAAAGAATATCACATAAATGAATTGTAAAAGATCCAATTCATTTATTTACCTTTATTTTCTTTTACAACATTATACTATCAGTAAATCATTTATTGGATTAAATAAAAAGAAAAATCATGCTTCAGTACTGTCAATGAAGGAACACCAGAAGATGAGAAGGAGAGATCATATATCACAGAAGTCGGATTAGGTTAATTTAGAATCATGCTTATAAGTTGAAAACCATCAATATAAATATGCTAAAATAACATAAGAATAAAAAATGCACTGTTCACAAATAGTGGATTGTTGGGGAGCAACAAGGATTGGTTGGTCTTGGTGAAAAGGGCTATGGCGGCTTGAGTATAAGGTTTTACATTCAAGTCCATGTGAACATCCACAATACTTAAATTTGACTCATTCATATGGCCATATCAAGGAGAAAAAATTAGACAGAGAAAGAAATTTCACCCACCTAGGATGCCGAGAACAAAATTAGCGACAAACTTTAGTAAAAGAATTCTGTCATTATAGAATTCTGTAACTAAATCAGTTAGTGACAATCTTTTCCATGACGGAATTTACAAATTCTGTCCCTAAATTTTGTTATTAGTTTACTTTTTTTTTCGTAATATAGTGAAAGAAATATCACCCACCTAGGATGCCGACAACGATTCGAGCAATATCTGCAGGATTCATGGCTAAGCAGTCGCGTGGGCAAGCTCTCAAGTTTAATTTCAAGTGACAGGAAGCTAGCTTGCCAAATGCGGGTTGGTGTGGTGGATCATTGGAATGATATGTATTTATATATAGAGCTGGGAATATATAATTGAATAAAAATATTATATGTGAGGCTTTAATTTATTAAATATATAGAAGAAAATAGTCTCTTTGGCACTGTGTTTAAGATGCCATATTAATGGCGTTGCAGAGAGATGAGAGAGGGAAAGCGACGACTCTACATTCTGCAATTTTGGATGGCCCTCTTTACAAAGATAAGCCCTCCATTTGTGACTCAATATTTATGACTGATCGTCAAATAAAAGAAATAATTTAATAATAATTTTGATGTAACAGTTATACAAATATATAAAAACATAGTAACACAAATTTACCTAGTACTTATGTTAGTTAGAGTGTCAATTTTTCATGACTCATGCTTTATGCCTTGGAGGGATTCTAAATGTCATTTACAACATCGAGCATTCTAAATGTCATTTGAAAAATAATCAATAAACAAGTATCTCCTAATTGTGATTAGACTAAGTGCAAAGGACTTTACAACCTTTTAGCAGAATCTTGAATCTGAATTGATGGAATCACGAAGGGAGCTTGACTCAACTCAATTATAGATTAGTCGGTGGGCATCTTATAATTTGCCAAAGAGGGAGGAGGAAAAAAGAAAAAACTTAAGTACTTAATTTATATTTTTATGTTTTTGATTAAAAATTGAAATATGTATATTTTCGTTCATGATTTACCCTATAACTAACCTTTTTTTAAGAAAATGTGAACAAAATTATCAATTTCATTGTGAAAATAAATTGGCCATTTTAGAACAACATAAGGTAAAGGGTCGATTTATAACATCTATGAATTTGATATTTTAATGGATCGAAATGCGAATTTTAGTTTTCGATGCATATGAAATGTACAAGTCAAAGGTGATGATAGAACTTCAGGTTAAAGTCTAATTTTGTCTCAGAAATTTTTGTTGAGAAGTTATCGGTATTTAGAAGATTTTTTAGCTTCAATGTTACTTGAAATTTTTTTAAATATAATAATATTCACTTGAGCCAACAAAGACTTAACATTGACCTTTAAAAAAACACGCTAACGTTGAAAGTAACATAGTGATAAAAAAAAGTTGGCTTACACGTGCTGATGTGAGACAAAAACACGAGGTATTAAGGTAGAAAAAGTGAAGGGAGAACCATGATGAACAAAAAGCTAAACGTAATGCCTGAAATTGCAAGTGATTTCCTGTGTTAGGGTAACGGAGGAGATTGGGATGCATGTGAGCACTGAATCTTGTACGCTATTGGAATAGGCAAGAGAGCAAAGATTCATCTTCAGTAAACATGTCTGTGGGTTAAGTATTTTTTTTCGTTTTTTATTAATTAATTTAGATTTATGGTGAGATTCTATTAGATGGAAACGATGGTCTTGATGATGATCCCCCGCATGGTGAAAAGAGTAGAGGTCCCGATGATTTGTGGGATTTGAATAGTTTTTGAATGAGTTGAATAGTGTGAGAAAGGTGATTGAAAAGATTACATCAAGTACTTCAGTGTTAGGAGGTGAACGAAGTGGAGTTATGTGTAGAGACTGAGAAGGACGATAATGGCAAGTATGAATGTTAAATAATTAGAGTTATGTGTAAAGAAAGGATGAGGAATATGAGGATGAGGAGTAGGAATGTGCTGAGACATATTAGAGGACATTAGCTTACTTAGATACTAACTCCAATTCTTAATATAAAAACTAATTTGATATTTAATTTGATCTTAAATATAAGATTCATACTTATTTTGTCTTTCATGTTTATTTATTTTTTCTCAGGTAGTTTTTATACCCAAAAAAATATATGGTATTCAGTGCACATTAGGTATAAGTTTATGGATATTTGCAGCATAATCCTACATTTTATATACTTTGTTGCATTGCTTTTATTATTCTATTACTTTATCCTTGTTTTTGCATACAATTTTGAGTAGCCCCAATTTAACCCCTCTTGGATGGCAGCTATCTTTATAGGTAAATGCCAAGAGACAAATGTTATTTCTTACCCATGTAGAACACCAAAATACTATTTTAATCAACTTCCTTGACTTGCCACCTGGTAATTTTGGGAAAATATTTATAAATTATTACATATTGAGTTATAAATAACAAATATACTAGTTTTGTTTTAAATTTCTAGAGGATTTGTAAATCTCAGAAGTTGACTTGTAAATTGTGTTTGAAAATTTATATATAATAATATTTACATTATTAAATGATAAATTATTAAAATTTTTAATATTATATTGTCAAACGAATTTAATGCACTTAATTAGTGTTGTTGCCTGCAATGATGATCCAATAATCACCCAATAGTAGATCAAAATGGTTGGTTAAAATTGTTTTTGGTCTTTTACAACAAATAACATTAGTCTTTTAGCACTTATTTATATTTTAAAACTTAATCAATATTAATTTTTTATGTGATACTTATTTGTAATTTTTTGGCATTATTTTCTATAATTTTCTTAGTTAAAAAAAATCAAATTGTGTAATATTTAACTAAGGAGCTAAATTATTTCCCCGAAAATTATATTCAAGTTCTAAGTAAGACATTATTAGTGCAAAATCCCTTGAAATCATCAAATAAACCTAAAATCCCAAGGGAATTGTGGGTAAGAGAATCATAGTTGTTAATACCTGCTACAATAGTTGTTAATGTAACCGGTCTAGTTGTAAATGACAAGTACGTAGTGCAGGTGCATATTTATTGTTAATATAACTAATTTAGTTGTTAATAATAAGTGTGCAGTGTATGTGGACATTAGTTGTTAATACATACTATCATAGTTGTTAATATAACTAGGTTAGTTGTCAATGACAACTGTGTAATTGAAGTAGACATTAATTGTTAATACATGTCACGATAGATGTTAATATAATAACTAGTTTAATTATCAATGACAAGTGTGTATTGCTGGTAGATATTAATTGTTAATACATGTCGTGATAGTTGTTAATATAACTAGTTTAATTAGTTGCCAATGACAAGTGTGTTGTGTAAGTGGATATTAGTTGGGAATATATGCCACGATATGTTGAACGTAGTGTGATAACAAGAACACTACTAGAAAAAGGACTTTTAATATTGGTTAAAAAGAACCTTTTATATTAGTTAATGAGGGGACATAAGAGCCAATAACATAATTTCTTAGCAATTCTATGTCAATTTCAAAAACGACGTAGAAAGTCACTCTCTTCATCAGTTTTTAATAACCAACATAGATTGTAGAATTTTTCTTAAAAAAATAGAAAAACAAAATGATAGTTTTGAATTCATTCAAAATAAATGCACAATCATTCCAGAATCATATTACAGATAACATTACTCTTTTTAACCTATTTTTTTACAAAAAGATAACATAACACAGTCATGATAACCAATGATAATGGCCAACTCTATTGATGCTCTTGTCTTCACAACATCATGACAAGGAGGGTCAGAGGATGGGCAGTGGACTTCTAGAGTAACAAATAGGTTAGGGGTCGAAAGGTGTACGTCTCTGAAATTGGGGATGGAATTTATGCTTTTTCTAAAGGATAATTTGGTAATTGTACAATTGAATTAACTTACTCTCAATTCTTTGGAGACGTCACATTTATTTCATCATCTCATGGGACCTTTTAGTAGTAATTTTTCTTGCTTGGGATCTAAATATAATTTTCCCATTGTTCCCCTCGTAAAATGTAAGAAGTAATATTGTACCGTCCTGACTTTAGGATGTCTAATGTGCCTTAAAAAAATGAATTCTTTATTTCAAATATACAATAAGAAAATGAATCAACATCAAAGGCACGCAAAGCTAATTATTACTCCTTCAGTTATAAATATAAGACCCACTTTATAGTGTAAATTACACTGTAAAGTGGGTCTTATATTTAGGATCGAAGAGTATTATTTTAAAAAATATATACCCTTAGGCCTTATAGTTTTAATATTAATATATAAAAGTTGGCACAAAAATAATATTAACATATACAAAATGTTAATGATTGGAATAAATTATAATAACTTGAAACAAACACGGTGGATATAGTGGAAGAGGTTAATCCTTCGTAATGTGTCACACTAAGGTTTGAATTTTTGTTGAAAGATGTACTTACATTTAATATTCAACAATATTTTAAACAAGATTATTTCTAATAAGTTGAAGGATACACAGGGAAAAACATTATAATAGCTTGAGATTGTCAACTTCATGTGCAAACATGATGTTGAATCCTAGAAATACATAATTTTATTTTGGGTCCACTAACTTAAAGGGATCAGGCACCAATAAATTTTTTGCCATTTGCCGACACGGATTTTGAGGTTGCATATCATGCTGCATTCTTCTCAATGGACCCCGTTTTCTAGCAGGTGAAGACCCAAAAATCCCAAGCAAAACTTTAAAGGACTACTGTTTGAATTGAACATTTTAGGGGACCATGATACATTGGGGGGATTACGTATGAATGTGAAGAATGTGAACCTGAGACTCTTCCTAAGTTTAGGAAAGCTTTTTGAGATGTGATATAATTATTCATATATTTGCATCAAATCAGAAAGGGTTCTTGACGGGAATAATGATTAAAAAGGAGCCTGTCAAAACCTATTAAAATATAGGAAATAAACTTAATTTGGGACTTAGTAATTTTCATATTCTTTTTTTGTCATTTTTGTGTTCTCGACGACTTGGGTAGCAGGACGTGTTGATACTAATTAAGCTGAGAAAACTTTTTTAGAAAATGTGTAAATATAATTTTAATTGAAAAAAGCAATTCATTCCATAAGTTTTTAAGATGACGAAATGTTTTTCAGGATAAAAAGGTTGATGACAAACTTTTTATAGGAAAAGGTGATGATTTTATTATCATGCCTCTAAATAATCCATTCTACTTCATGAGCCGTTAAAGTTTATTGCAGATTATTGAAG